TGGAGCCTCCTTAAACTGGCTCCTGAAACCCTTTGACACACTCCTAGTAAGCTTGGACACTTTCTTCTTTTGTTTTCTGCTATAAGGAGATGTTTCTGGCTTATCTTATACTTTCCTGCTCCAGCCCTGGAATCAATCACTTCTCCCTTTCCTTTGGTGGAAAACTGTAGAGGCCCCAACTTGGACACCAGGGGTGCTCACTGGTACTGCTTATTGTTTCTAGGCCTCTATATTGATTTTTAAAATCTCTTTAGTGGAGCTGGTTTGTTTGCTGTGCCCTGTGATTTATAATCCATGAAGAATATGGCTACTGGTGATTTTCAGGAATTAAATAATGTCTTATTCAACTAATGACTCATGTAAAAAGCACTGCTTGAAAATCACCTATTTGCCAGTCATTGTTTATTTTAAAATTATTCTCCTTGGGGATAGCGTGTGGCTTAAGGGCTCAGATGAAAAATTCTTACTTGGCATTAATTATGGCCAACTGAATTCCAACAGAAGATGCAACTTGCTCACACTAAGTATAACCTAAGTATCAGGTATCAGATAAATGGTTAATTTTTATACGGCATGCTTAGTTCAACAAAACTAGGGCCTTTATAGGGGGAGATAAATATTTTTTAATGTTTGGGATACAAAAAAATGACTTACCACAACTTTATTCAAGAAGGTCTACATTTTCTCATAAGCCAGTAATTTATTGCTTCTTATTTGAATTCCCATCAGTCTCTGATGTGGAGTGAAAATCAAGTTTCTTTTCTGACTAATCTTTCTCTGGAAAAATGATTGAAAGGCCTTCTATCGTTTCTGGCTCAAGGACCTATAAACATGTCAGAGATTTTTAGTTAATTTATTAAAACACTGTCAAAACCTCGAGTAAATGCTTTTAACTATCTGATGTACATTAACAGCTCTGAAGGAACAAATATATTTTAGCTCGTAATCAAAATTCCTTTTACTGCTTTGAAACCAGCTATTTTGTATTCATAGCATTCTCTTTTGAAATGTTCTGCTCTCAACCTCCCTAGATAAAATTTCCTTTTATTATGTTTATTTAAGTGAGAAAATGAAAGTACTTAGGAATGTTTTTATTTTGCCTTACACAGCCTCCTTATTCGAGTTCCCCAAGGGCAAGCACATCTTTGTTACCTCCTGTGCCCAGAATTCTAATACTAAAACAATTATCAAAATTGTCAAGGCAAGATATAGGTCCTTTAAGTGTAAGAAGTCTGGTGCTGGTCCCCCAGATGAGATAATGACAATAAAAAGCAACTTCAGAAAAAAAAAAAAAAGATGTCTGGTGCTTAATTACTAAATGCTTTCAAGGATCTTAGGTGTCCTCAAGGTCCTATTGTACTTTCATCAAATGCATTTTGTATTTTATCACATCAAACAATTTCTGATCTCTGCTGTTTACACTTCCTTTTCGTCTTCACTTTATCATGAGTATAACACTAAGTGTACTTCTAGTGAAATAATTTTTATCATTATTCTTTTACCAGTTTAACAATGTCCTTTACAGACTTCCATAAATGGGCTCAAAGTATAAATTACTTTACCTTCTTTTTTTAAACTCAAAAAAATGTAGCTGACCTTATCTCTATGGTCATCTATAAAATAATCTTTGCTGGACTTTAATAAAGGTTTATCTAATCTAATAGAACTAGGCCATCCTTTCCTTGTTTTCCACCAAAGTTAACAGTCTCTTCCTGTATGAAAAGTAATCACAAAGGGCTCTTTGAAAGCATCAATCCCTCAACTACTGGTGATTTTTTAAGTTGAGAATACATCTGTTTCTTTTATGTTCCTTGGACACTCTTAAGTGCTTTACACTGGTGGACGTATAAGTCTTTGACGGTAATTATGAAAAAAACTAACAAGAACGGTGACATTAGGTTTTTCTGTCTTGAAAATGCTGCTTACAGTTGCATGGATGATGAAGTGAGGCTCCATTCTTTTTATTTTTATAGAGATGAGGTCTTACCATGTTACCCAGGCTAGTTTTGAACTCCTGGGCCCAAGTGATCCTCCCCCCTTGGCTTCCCAAAGTGTTGTGGTTACAGGGGTGAGTCAGGGCACCCGGCCTCCATTCTTGCCATACCGCAGCATCAAACTGAGGCTCTTGGAAAGTACTTAAATGCTGGTTATCAATTTTTTGAAACATTAACGTGGGCGGCGTGGCATGGTGGCTCACGCCTGTAATCCTGGCACTTTGGGAGGCTGAGGCGGGTGGATCACTTGAGGTCAGGAGTTCGAGACCAGACTGGCCAACGTGGCGAAATCCCGTCTTCACTGAAAAAATACAGTAATTAGCCAGGCATTATGGTGCGCGCCTGTAATCCCAGCTACTTGGGAAACTGAGGCAGGAGAATCGCTTGAACCTGGAAGGTGGAGGTTGCTGTGGACCGAGATCGTGCCACTGCACTCTAGCCCGGGCTGGGTTTTTTTTTTTTTTTTTTTTTTTTTTTTTTTAACTCTGTCTCCAAAAGAAAGAAATATTAATGTGGGCACACAAGCTATTTTTTTTGCGTGCTTGAAACAGCATTGCTTAGTTTCATTTACCTTTCTGTGAACAGTATCACAGCCTGATGTAATTTTTATAAACAATGAAGACATGTTTTTACTATTTTTGAAAGGAAATTTAATCGCTTGAAAAAATTCAGACTAAAGCCCGAGAGGAAAATTACCATCCAGTGCATTCTCAGAGATTTCTTCTTTTTTTTTCTTTTTTGAGACGGAGTTTCGCTCTTGTTACCCAGGCTGGAGAGAGATTTCTTCTTAGTCTACTTTTGTTTTTCCTTTTTGAAAGCATTTGTGATTGAGAGATGTCTGAGGGAAGGGACAAATTGCATTCTGGGAGTTTTAAAAAGAGTTATGTCAGGCCCTAAAATACGTGGCCTCTGTATTTAAAGAGATTTCACATCAGCATACTATTTGCTTTATAATTTTTATTTTTTAATTGTTTAAAAATGTGTTTAACATTTAGTGCTGTGTTGAAGGACAGCATGGCAGATTCTGGAATTAATGTAAAGACTCCACTATTTAACTTTTTCCTAGTAACTTTAAAACAGAGTTTGGGTTCCAAGTTCAGCATGGGAAGATAGCATAAACATTTAAACTAAGTAAAGTTCAAAATATACATTTTTGAAGTTGATAAGTGCTGTTTAATCGTTCTCCCCTTCTTTCCCAAGTCTTTTGAAACTTCAAAAGGCTTGTTTAAGCAGTTTGTTAAAAAAAAAAAAAAAAAAAATCCATACCCAACTGGGCTCCTATCAAGGAATGTGGAAAATTCATGATTTATGGAACGATGACACCAGACTTACATTTCACAGGCTCCCAAGCTTTGAAACACGGGTACATAGGAAATACGCATAGAAAATTCCTGTTCTTTGCAACGTGTGAAACGTTTCAAAATGTAACTTTGCTCATCCCCCTCCCCCCTACAAACTAATAAAATCACTTTGGCTCTCTGACGGCTTATTTTTAAAAAATTAGACGGCTTGGTAGGTGCTCCAGGGATAACCCTTCTCCCCCCACTACACCCCCCCTTCCCGGTTAGACTGCCAAACCCTTTTTCATTTTATTTAAAAGTTTTTTTTTTTTTTTTTTTTTTTTTTTTTTTTTTAAGTGAAGGCAGGGGACGGCGGGGGTTGCTAAATTTATCTTCCTCCCCAGCCACGGGGATGAAGAAAACACATTTACTGCGGGCGGGGGTCTGAGGGCCTGCAAACAACTCGAGCTGGAGCCTCGGCCAAGACCGGCGCGGAGAGGCGGTAGGTCTCCGGGGAGGCCCCAGGGACAAGGTGGGGGGCGGCCGGGCAGCCTGCCTCTCCGCGGGGTCGGCCGACCGCGGCCCCGCGCGGGCTTTACGGCCGAGGCGGCGGCAGCGGCGCGTGTGTGGCGGCGGCGGGCGGGAGCGCGGAGGAGGTGGAAAGAAGGGGGGCGCTGTCACGGAGACTCCGGCCGCCGGAGACCCTGCCGCAGCGAGGCCACTGGGCTCCCCGGTCGCGGGGCGTGAGCGGAGCCGACCCGGGGCGCCAGAGGGACCCACCGGGCGGAGGAGGGGGCCTGTCTACCCTTCCGCATTTTCCTGGGTCTCTCTCCCGGGCGGTGACGTGACGTGCTGACGGCGGGCCCGTGCCGGGGAGCTGGGCCGCTTTTTGTCAGCTCCGAGCTCGGCCCCTCCTCCCTCCCTCCGCCCGCCCCACCAGCCGGAGCCCGGCCCAGTGCTCCAGAGAAAGGCCGGCCTGCAGCACCCGCCACCGTCGCCGGCCGCCCGCACGCCTGTCCGGTGAGTCCCGGGTGCCGCCGCGGCCGCGGGGCCTAGTGCGCGCACAGCGGCCTGGTCTCGGCCTGGTCGGCGGCCCGCAAGGCGCCCTCGCGCGCTAGGCCGGGCGGCGTGGCGCGCGGCGCCAAGCAGGCCCCGAGGAGGCCGCAGTTAGGCCCGGGGAGGAGCCCGGCTGCCCTGAGCGGCGGCGGAGGCGCGCTCCGTAAGCGGGCGGGGGTTGGGGGAGGGTCGCCCGGTTGTCCCGGAGGCGACCGAGGGGCCCCAAGTCGGCGCCGCGGCCGACCCGGGGCACCGCGCCGGGGTGAGGCCTGGCAAGGAGGCGAAGGCTGCAGGCGTGAGGTGAAGGCCGCAGGCCGGCCGGGCCGATTTTCGCTATGTAAATATCGGCGAGGGGGGGAGGGACGGGGGGACAAGATGGCGGCGGCTCGGCGGCTGCTGCAGGGGACGATAGAGGGGGTTGCCGGGAGGGGGAGCCGCCATCTTGGAGGCGGTGTCTGGAGAGAAAATTCCGCTACAGCCCGTGAGGGGGGGTGGGAGAGCGGGCGGCGGCGGCGGCGGCTGCGGCGCCGGTGACGGGCCCCGGAGGCTCGGCGCGGCGGCGTGTGCGCGCGGAGGGGCGTGCTCGCTCCCCGTGGCGGCCATTGCCCTTGCCGCCATGATGAGCGCTCGGGCTTCAGGCGCTCGGCGGCAGCGCCACCTTCCTGCCTTGCCTCCCGCAGCCCCGTGACTGGCTGCAGTTTCCGTTGCGTTTCAGCTGAGCTGCCGCAGGCGGCTGTCGCCGCCGCCGCAGCCGCCGCCGGGGCGCCAGGACCATTCCGCCTTCAGTGCCCCCGGCCTTGCGCCTTTCGCCCGCGCCTGTAGCCACCCGAGGGCACTCGGGGCAGGTGGCATTCCGGACACCTGGGCTCACCAGGGCATACGGGACCCCAGGAAATGTTATTTTTGGTTAAGTCGAATCATATGTGGCTCCTAAGGTGCCTTCGATGCGGTTGTTTTTCCAACAATCCTTGCCGCCCCTAGTATCTGAATAAAGAAAGAAAAATAAAGATTGATGGGAAAGTTCTCGCCATCCTTTTGTCTTATAGGGAAAAAAATTGCCCAACACGAAAGCGGAGGAATAAAATTTTGAATCATTCGTACTCACATAGTGGAAACAAATTTATGTATGTGGAAACAAATTTCTTGAAAAATGATTTAAGCGATTAGTGATTTGTTAGTGGTATTTACTTTTTTTTTTAAATTGAGGAATAAGAAGGGCAGACGTTTTTAATTTCTTATTGGAGGACAGCTTAGTGTGGTGCATATTTATTGTGCATTTGCCTGTCATGGTATTTCGATTTTTCATTTGTGAAGTTTTAAGGCGGAGTTTCACCCCCTACCGTACTTTTTTGATTGCACACTGTACAACTTTCTTGATAAACTCGGAGCCCACTGTTAGCGATGCACTGTGCTAGGTGCTTAGAAACATTAAAAAGGTTCTTGTAATGCAGACGGTGGCTTCGAGAAGTCTCATGTTTAGAGGTAGGTGGGGCAAGGTGAAATGCAGTAAAGTGAGAGGTACAGCTAATTACTGGGATTTCCGAGGGAAGCAAGGTTGCTATTGGAGGATCAGGGAGGGAAGGGCTCCTGAAGTATTAATAGGTGGCATTTGGAGAAGGTTGCAGAGGGATGGGGAGGACTTTGTTAGGTAGAGGTGGAGGTGGAAAAAGGACGTTTCAAGGGTGAAGCTTCTTCAGAAAACAGTAAGTATTTGCAGTTTGGCAAAAGTGCATGGTAGGGGAGTGGTGGGAATTTAGGCTAGAAAAGTTGATTGCAGAAGAGCTTGCTTGCCAGGGTCTTATATTCAATGGGGGAGGCAGCTGGGGTGCCCTCAACTAGAAGAGTGATGGCACACCTGAGCTGCGCCTTGTTATTTACTTATTTATTTTTTATTTTGAGACAGGTTCTTGCTATATTGGGCTCAAGCTGTTTTCCAGCCTCCCACTGCCGTCTGGCCCCTGAGCTGTGCTTCACGGTACTTAGTGGTTCCATTGTACTAGGAAAAGTTTCAAAGTTGAAAAATAATGAGAGTAGTAAATTGATCGGTGTTTTCATTATCAGAACGATTACAGGAATATTCAGAAGTTAAGCAACTTTTGCTACTTTTGGAATGATGCGTCTCTATTAAGACAGCTGTTCCTTTTTTCTATCCTGATTTCTCATCCGAAACCTTTTGCTCAGAGTTTTTACAATTTCTATGGTACACAAATAGGGAGGGGTTTCTAAAATTTCATTTACCTTGATTGAAAAGTACAGGACTAGTGCTTATTTGATGAAAATGAGAAATGAGTATTCCCTTGGTAATTCTTTTTGCTTTTTGAATCGAAGTCTCGCTCTCTCGCCCAGGCTGGAGTGCAATGGCACGATCTTGGCTCACTGCAGCCTTCTCCTCCCGGGTTCAAGCGATTCTCCTGCCTCAGCCTTCTGAGTAGCTGGGATTACAGGTGTGCACCACCACGCCCCGCCAAGTTTTGTATTTTTAGTAGAGATGGGGTTTCACCCTTTAGGTCAGGCTGGTCTCAAACTCCTGACCTCGTGATCTTCCCACCTCAACCTCCCAGAGTGCTGGGATTACAACTGTGAGCCACTGTGCCCGGCCTCCTGTGGTGACTTTTTAAGAAGTCAGTTTTGAAAAGTCTAGTTTAGAAGAGCCATTATTAAAAAGACAGTACCTTCACATGGTGTTTTGCAATTTGTCCTTCCCCCTGGTGAAAGGAACCACCGTTTTGTTTGAGAGGATAACTAAGACTCTTTGCTAAGCCAAACCTTCCTGCTCATGTTTTGATTAATATTTGACTAATCTAGATGCATATGTGGGAAATGTGTTTCCTAGAATTTTTTTTTTTTTTTTTTGAGATGGAGTCTGTTGTGGCGCGATCTCAGCTCACCGCAGCCTCCGCCTCCCAGGTTCAAGTGATTCTCCTGCCTCAGCCTCCCAAGTAGCTGGGACTACAGGACCCTGCCACCATGCCTGGCTAATTTTTGTATTTTTAGTAGAGAGGGGGTTTCATGTTGGCCAGGCTGGTCTTGAACTCCTGACCTCTCGTGATCTGCCTGCTTTGGCCTCCCAAAGTGCTGGGATTACAGGCACGATCCACCGTGCCCTGCCTGCTACCTAGAATTTTATGATAGGAACCTTTAGGTGGCATGGATACCCATTTTTAGTTTTTCCGTTTTTCTGGACCGTAACAGGTCATGAGCAGCAGTGCTCCATGAAAGGGCTGGAGGGAATGAGAGTCTCATGTTTATTATAAAGGGCTATGGTTTAGAAAAGTTTGAGAAACTGCGTTGCATGAGGCTGACTAGAAGCAAGTTGTGAAGGCGGGCTGTGGTTGTTGAGGTGTTAAGGGTAAACATAAACTTAGAAGAACCAGGTGCTTTTATATCTTGACAGCTGGGAAAGACATAGAAGAACTATTCAGAAGATAGAATTGTTTTGCTGCGCAGTACAGCAACAGTGGATGTTCGAGATTTAAGATTAGAGTCAAGTTGTGTGATTAAGACAGGTAAGTGTGTAGTTTAGTTTCCATGAGAAATGGTTAAATACAAAATTATTTTTGCCTGAAAGGTAGACCTTGAAACTCTGGAAAACTGACTGGAGGAACACCTTCTAACTCAACCACCCTGGATAAATAAGGTGTTAGTTTTAAATTTCTGTGTATTTTTCAGATAGATGCAGATTTCTTTTTTTTTTTTAAAAAAGCATGCTCACAAATGCATTACAGTTTTTTTCCCACATTGCTTTTTGTAAATGCTTACTCTCTAACCCCATTTAGACTGATACTGTCACTGATAATCTTATTTATAATATTTGTGCTTGTGTACACTGGCAATTCCAAACTTTTTTTTCCACATTTAAACTACTCAAATGGTCCTTGAAATCCCTCACCTTCAGCAAAGATTACCCAATCTTTTACTTCACTGAGAAGGGTAGATGGCCATCTGATAAACAGCCAAGTTTCCCTCCCTTCCGTTTCATACCTTTCTTCTGTCTTCCGCCTAGGCCTTTCTCCTTTTGCCGCAGGGGGCTGTTGCAGGAGGGATTGTTCTTGCAAGCCCCGCTGCTCTGCGCCTGCTCTTAACCCTGGCTGTCTCCTTAGGGATGGAGCTGTGTGATGCCGTCTCTTGCATCATTACCCTCTCTTTACAAATATTCCTAGGTTTGCTCATCTCACAAAAACCTCACTTGTCTTCTCTTTTCACCCCACTTACTCTTAAATCCAGTATTTTCCAGATTGGGAAACTTGCACAGCATGTTAACAGGTGTGTTATATAAAAGTGTTCTGTGTTTCAGAAACTCTGTGTGCCTTATCTGTTTTCTATGGTGGGATTCCCCTTAATTTAGCATTTAACATATTACATTTTGTCTGTGTGTTTATATTTTTGTCTTCTAAACTGAATATAGAGATAAGTTCTCATTTATCTTTGTCTCCAAATAGTACCCGGCATATGGACCATTATCTCCAAAAACAATCATTTCCGTTATTGGGTGTAGATAATTTTATGTAATTGAATAGTTTTCAGCTGCTCAGAATAAGATATCCAGTCAGTGTGTTTTTTGACCAAGGGATAGACATATTAAGGCACGCTTATCCTGTCAGGGTACCAGGTCAAGGAATAACCCCCCTCCTGCCACCCCTTATCTGATTGGAATATGGCCAGCCTATTCTTACTCCTGCCAAATTGTTTTTCCAGACAACGTTTTATAAAATCCAGGTATCTTATAATTGTATTTTACTCAAAGGAAATGTGCTTTAAGGAAATTGTGTGGCTTCGAAGTACACAGCCATTAGGCATTAAAAATACATATATTTAAAAAGTTTTATGGAGTATTTTAAAATTACTGAAAATGAAAATCACCCAGATTTGACAGTTCTTAATATTTTGCTATATACTTGATTCATGTCTTTTTGTTGTTTAAAGAAATAAAATCTCACTGATTCAGTCAAAGGGTACTTCCCCCTCCCATTCTGTCTTCTCTTCGCCAGAAGTAACCACTGTCCCAATATGTACGTACCAAAACAATATCAGGCATTGCCTGTGTGTTTAATTTTACATGAACAGTATCATAACCGTGTCTTATATTATTATTTTCACTTAACGGTGTGTTTTTGAGATATATCCATGTAATGTGTTTATCTAGCTCAGCAATTTTCAAAGTGTGCTCCAGGGATTCCTGGGGATCCCTAAGATTCTTTCAGGGGGTCCATGAGGTCATACTGTTTTCATAATACTTTTTATTTGCCTTTTTCACCCACATTTTCCTGTACACTATAGGAATGCTGTACAGAGGCTGCATGACATATGATGCCATAATAGATAGAATGCAGAAACACTTACGGGAATCCAGCTGGCTTCTATTAAGCCAGACATGAAAGAGATTTGCAAAAATGTAAAACAGTGCCACTTGTTTTACTATTTTTTTTTTTTTTTTTGAAAAATAGTTATTTTAAAGTAAATATGTAGCCATACAAAAGAACGAGATCAGGTCTTTTGTGGAAACATAGATGGAGCTGGAGGCTATTATCTTTAGCAAACTAACGCCCAGTAACAGAAAACCAAATACCGAATATTCTCACTTACAAGTGGGCGCTAACTGATGACAGCTCAAGAACACAAAGAAGGAAACAACAGACACTGGGGGTCCACTTTAGGGTGGAGGGTGGGAGCAGGGAGAGGAACAGAAAAGGCAACTATTGGGTACTGGGCTTAAATGCCTGGGTGATGAAATAATCTGTACAACAAACCCCGAGTTTACCTATATAACGAACCTTCACAGTATTCCTGAACCTAAAATAAAAATTTAAAAAAATAGAATATCTCAACAAAAGAGAAAAAAGGAACAAAGAAAAAAAAGTATATTTGCATACAGTGGGTTTATTATTATGCATTAATAAGTGCTTTTAAAGTCTCAGTTTTAATTTCTAGTATGATAAACATCTATAGCTATAACCCACATAAAAACTCTTGGTGGTCCTTAATTTTTTTATTTTTAATTGTGATCCTTAATTTTTAAGAATGCAAAGGAGTCCTGAGACCAAGGAGTTTGAAAACTGCTGATCTAGTTCATTCATTTTATTGGTATTTCAGTATATAAATAGACTGTGGTTTATCTATTCTTGGAGGGACTGTGAGGCTGTTTGCAGTTTTTGAATTTCAAACACTACTGCTGTGAACATCCTTATACATGATTTGTCTTTCTTGGGATTATATACAGATAATAGAAGTAGAATTGCTTCATTTAAGAAGTCTGTGCATTGTCAACCTTACTGGGAATTGCCGAATTCAGCGTTCTATTTGACACTCCCACCAGCTATGTTTGATCCCGTTTCTCCAAATCACTGCCAAAGGATTGGATTCTGCAATTTTTTCCCAATCTGTTGGGTTTTATACTCCTTACTATTTTCATTTTGCTTTTGTAAATGTAATCTTAGATTACATTTCTAGTAATGAGGTTGACCTTTTTTCCCCATGTATTTATTGGCCATCTGAGTTGCCTATGAATTGCTTGTGCATACCTTTGGTCCATTTTTCTGTTGGATTGTTGCCGCTTCCTTATTGGTATATGGGTTTTATTTATTTTTTGAGACGGAGTCTCGCTCTGTTACCCACGCTGGAGTGCAGTGGCACAGTCTTGGCTCACTGAAGCCTCTGCCTCCCAGGTTCAAGCAATTCTCCTGCCTCAGCCTCTTGAGTAGCTGGGGTAACAGACGCTTGCAACCATGCCCGGCTAATTTTTGTATTTTTAGTAGAGATGAGGTTTCACCGTGTTGGCCAGGCTGGTCTCGAACTCTTGACTTCAAGTGATTGGCCTGCCTTGGCCTCCCAAAGTGCTAGATTGCAGGTATGAGCCACTGTGCCCGGCTGGTTTATGGGTTTTATTTTCTGAATACTAGTTTGTGATCATATACACTGAAAATATCTTTTCCTGGTCTGTGGCTTGGCTTTTAGCGCTGTTTATGGAAAGTTTTTTACGTAGGACTTCTTAATCTGATGGTATCCAGTTTTCTCAATTTTTTTTTTCATTTATGGCTTGTGTTTTCTTATATCTTAATTCTTCCCTTACCCCAAGGTTTTAATGATACAGTGCTTTTTCATATTTAGGTCATTAATTCACCAGAGTTTTTTTTTATGTATTGTGTGATGTAGGGATTTAATATCTTTTTCATGTGGTTTTATCAAATAGTTCAGCTTTTCTCCCCACTGATTTATTATGCAACTCCTGAGGTATAGCATATTCCCACATATGTATCTGTTTTTTGTTTCTCTATTTTGGTTTAATTGGTCTGTTTGCCTATATCTGTATCTATATTATCCTGATTTAATAATAATAGCTTTATAATTAAAACTTAATATATATTTTCCTTCGGGATTATTCTAGCTATTTTCATTCCTTTGCTTATTTTAGGGTCATTTTGTCAATATCTGTGAAAACTGTTGTTGGCTTTTTATATTTGCCTCCAATTTATAGAATAAATACATTCATATAGATAAATGCTAAGTAGTAGAGCTGGGATTTAAATCTGGGTATGTGCTGCTACTTTTCATAAAGCTCTTGTACAACTTTCGTTAGATCCTGTAATTTTTGTTGTCATTGTGAATAGTATTTTCTTTTAGTTATAATTTCTGTTTAGTTACTGCTCATGTGTAGGGATCACTGTTGACTTACAAGTACTGTTCATGCAACCTTGCTGAACTCCTCATATTTCATAGATTCCGAGGTACACTTTTCCCTCTACATCTTCACGTACCTGAAATCAAAATAGATCTTTGATGGTGTCCTATAATCATTGTTGTCTAGGCAGCAGTCATGATGTAGCTATCATTGCCTGCACATACACAAACTTGGTCAGGGCTCTTCATTTTGTCATCAATTTAAATGAGTATGTGCATTGTTGTATTGTTGTTTCATGCCAAACAATAAAACTGGAGGCCAAAGAAATTGTGAAGTGGGTGTCTGCCTTGAAAGAAAATCACATAAATAATAATGGGTAATTTTAAGAAGTGCTACATCACCAATACTCTTGTTGGCAGAGGACAATATTGTTAGCAGAAGTTGAACAGTTTTGAGTAGAAAAGCAATCCATAGTAGGACCTTGGATGTGAAGTTGTAGGAATACCTTACCAATTTCTTTTTCTTCTGTATGCACAAGATCTGATAAAAGTCTAAGTCTGAAAGAATTGTCTTGATAAATCTAGAGTGAAAATCCTAGTTAATAAGAAAATTCTGTATCAGTTTAATTGGCAGTGTTTTTTTCTTAATAGTGTATAAAATAAGGGTACAGCTTATAATTGGTATCTTCAGAGTCAGTGAAATGTAGTAATAACAGTTCATAATTCTTTTGTATTTTCTAAATAGTTTTCATGTCTGAATAATACAGTTTTATTTCTTTTCCATTCCTTCTTGCCTCTTACGTCTTGTTCTGGTTTTACTGCATTGACTAATTCCTGTGCTGAAGTGTTCAGTAGTTGTGTTGATAATGGGCATCCTTCTCTAGGTACTTTA